CCCTTGCAGTCAGATAAGAGCTCAGCTTTAACTTCGCAGTGACAGATCAGAACTGCCCAGTTCACCTTCTCAAGATGAGGTTCCCTGCTCAGTTCTTGGGGCTGTTAATGCTCTGGGTACCTGGTAAGGACAGAAGGAGAGAAGGGAGGAGAATGGGGTGAGAAGGTGTGCTCTTGGAGGCTCCTCAGTCTCTCAGGTTTATTCAAACTGTATGTTAAGGAGTATGTTCTAATTTTCAGGGAAGGGAATTTATAATTTTTCCTATGAATAATTAGAAACCATCTCAAAAGAGCAATGACTAGTGCTTTAAGATCTTAGAAAATATAAAAGTTCCTTGTGCTTCTTTTCGTATATTTTAGAAAGTCTATTATTTATGATATGAATAAAATTTGAAAAAAGATTAATCATAAATTAATATCATAACAGAATTCATGAAAGTTGCTCATAATATTTGTAGCTTATCTTGTACTTCTTTCTCATTGTTTTAGGATCCAGTGGGGATATTGTGATGACCCAGACTCCACTCTCCCTGCCCGTCACCCCTGGAGAGCCGGCCTCCATCTCCTGCAGGTCTAGTCAGAGCCTCCTGCATAGTGATGGAAGAACCTATTTGTATTGGTACCTGCAGAAGCCAGGGCAGCCTCCACGGCTCCTAATTTATAGAGTTTCCAACCGGTTCTCCGGGGTGCCAGACAGGTTCAGTGGCAGTGGATCAGGCACAGATTTCACACTGAAAATCAGCCGGGTGGAGGCTGAGGATGTTGGGGTTTATTACTGCATGCAAGCTTTACAAAATCCTCCCACGTTGATACAGCCCTTAACAGAAACCTCCCTGTTTGCATGGCCCAGCTGCCCACATGTGCTGCTTGTCTGGGGAGCAGCTCAGCAGGGTCTCTGAGTCTGCAGAGAGGAGGCTGTGGGAGAACTCAGGGAAGAGCTTGCTGCTGAGGACTCTGGCCCATGAGAGCCTCAGCTGCGCCTCAGTGTCACATGGCAGCGCTCAATCAGCTGTTACAGCCTGGGGATGGCATCAACAGTAGAACTATTCAGATGTTTCAAGTGTCCTAGAAGCAAACAGTTCTGATGAAGGGAGAGTGAATGAAAGCTCATCCTCACCCTCCCTGTCTTGCCCACATGTGTCAAGTACATTTATTCGGCAGAACAACCAGACAATGGAAGCAAATTAGTGCCAACTCAAGTAGGATACATGTTGGAAATAAACAGTTCGAAGTTGAGTTATTCAAGTTAATACTTGGTAATATGGGAAAAGTACTACTTTCTCACTTTCCGAACATACTATCTCCTTTATCACTTAACTAAACTGCCCTTTTCATTAACATGTTCGAGAACGCATTCTACGCAAGCTGCCCTCAGGGGAGTATGGCTAAGAATAGTCAGTAAATATGTTTGATTGACTATTCATAGACTTTGTAGATCCATTGTATATATAAAATCTTCATGCCAACATCTTAAATTTGATTCAATTACCATTTGTTCAGTGAAAATGAAGTTCTTGTAATTAAAAAAGTGAACTCTGAAAATATAAAAGCATAAACTGGAAGATGGAGAACAGAAAGTTTACTTCATTTACTACAAGAGAAATGCAGAATGAATACAATATGCCAGTAATTAGGTTGCTGTTATATTTTCCTGATGTGAGTTGTAGGATCTCAGGCCTGTCGTCTTATTCAATTACGGAAAAGCCTTTCAAGCGTGGACACTCGTTACTTTCAGGAGTATCTGGAATGATCTACAGTAGAGAAGCTACTAAAAATTACATTAAAAAAGAAAAAGATGACTGTTTTTGATGATGGGTGACTAGAAGTAGCCAGGAAGAGCTGCTCCCACTGAGAGAAACCAGACCATCAAGTGGACCAGCGCACTCCAGACAGATCTTTGAAAGAAGACTTTTAAAGTGGAAACAGGGAGGATACATCCTGGCCTGGAAGGGGAGGAAGATGGGAACCCTGTGCGGGGTTTCTGAATACCAGGACTCCTCCTGACCCTTAGTGGCCCCTAGGGAAGGGGTAAGTAAAACAGGCATGGAGTATCCCACACTTGCCATAGAACTCCATAATCCTAGCTCTGGAAAAACCTATGACCCCCGTAGACACTTGAGTTGGCTGTAGAACTGCCTGTAGACTGGGCAGAGAGAGAACTTCAGTCCTGCATAGAGCACAGAGGGTTTGGAGTGGGAGAGGCTGCAGTGGAGCACGGCCATGGGCACCAGCCCCCCAAGGCCTGGCTAATTTTTTGTATTTTTGGTAACAGGGTTTCACCACGTTAGCCAGGATGATCTCCATCTCTCGACCTCGTGATCTGTCCGCCATGCTCCCCAAAGTGCTGGGATTACAGGCATGAGTCACTGTGCCCAGCCCCAAAGAAGATTTTTAGCCGTTCAGAGAATGCTTGCTTTTCATATCACAGAAAACCCCACCCACATCTGTTAGCAGTAGGTAAGATAAGCCTCAGGTTATGAAAATTGCAAACCACCCCTGCCCTCTTGATATCTCAGACCTAGATTAAGCTGTTCTCTGGCTACCCCTAGACACAGAAGCCCTTTCTCCAATGTTCCTTCACCTTAGGAGTTCCCTTGGTCTCCACGTTTTCTGAGAAGCAACCCCAACATCTTTGATTCTAGACAGTCTCCTGCTGTGAGGGACTCCTTTGGGCAAATCTCTCAAAGCTTCACTCAACAGTCATGTGTGCTGCTTCCACCCTAAGGACATCGCTTTCTCTTTGATCAGAACCCCAATTTCTCAAACTCTCTGTGAACAGATCCACACTGTCCACCCGACAAACACTGACTCCCGCGTAATGGACTCAGTTCCACTTCTGAGACTGACTTCCCAAGTCATACAAATAATACACTTGTTTTCAATTTTATGGACTCCAAACTAACAGCATCTGGCAAGTGACATGCAGTAAACTCCACTTGTATGAGTCCTTCCTCATTCAAGTGATCATGGTCCAGATGAGAGAAATACAGAGGCCCGCTCCACACCTGGATCAAATGGAGGCTGTTCATCTACCTTTTTATCTGTGTCCCCCGTGGAGCGACTAGCTTTGTCTGCTGTTGTGAAGCCTCTGCATATTCTACTAACATTCAGGAGAGAGATTCCTGTTTAGAATGAAGAATATTATTCTTTAAGTTTAACAGTATAGGGCAATTTCAAGGCCTTTAGTATAGGGTTACTTCAGAACCTTTTTATTACTGAAAAATTTTTTTACAAGCTTTTACATTGTCAAATATGTAATGACAAGAGATTATGAGATAAAACAACCAATCCCAATGGTAACCTTTTTAAAGCTTTGTCATTAATTTTCAAAGGAAGCAACAGTACTCTCTGAAATTCAGCACCCTAAAGAATACTTTGTAAAACTAAGATTTTGAACAATTGACTCATAGTAAAAGCAAGCCTGATAGATTTATTACTGTAATTCATTTTCCCACAGTGCAAGTTTCTATATAGAATAGTGGGTGGAACTGATTATTCATTTAACACCTTTTCAGACTAATCCATTTATACCAGTGATAAGATGTACCTTAATGTTCTCTTTTAGATTGTGTGTTTCTTTTGTGTGTTTACTTTTATTTTTCTTTTCAGTATCTGATGTTTCTAACCCTTTTAACTATTATGATGAATTAGGAGTTTGACATTTTCAAGGCTAAGAACCATATTTGATCTGATCAGCATCACAAGGAAGAAGAAGTCAATGCCAGGCACAGTGGCTCACTCCTGGGAGGCCAAGGCAGGTGGATCGCTTGAGGCCAGGACTTTGAGACCAGGCTGCCCAACATGTGGAAACCTGTTCTCTACTAAAACTACAAAAATTAGTTGGGCATAGTGGAGAGTGCCTGTAGTCCCATCTACTCCAAAGGCATGAGAACTGCTTGAACCCGGGAGCCCGGGAGGCGGGGTTGCTGTGAGTGGAGATTGCACCACTATATTCCAGCCAGAGTAACAGAGCAAGATCAATCCCCCTCCGCAAAAAAAAAAAGAAAAAAACCACTGAAATACATAAGATTTACAAAAAGTACTCGAAGAAAAGAATAAATAAAAATTTAAATAATGGAATATGATACATTTATTCTAATCCTACTTTCACATTACAATTTGATGTTCTCAATTTAGGTTACTGCCATGAAGTTCAACATTTAAGGTCAATATCATTTTTACTCAATTTTTTTTTCACCAACTATGTTAAAACATCTTATGCCAGTGCATCTCCCAGAAGATAATCGGACAAGCTTTGTGTGGAATAATAATACCTAGAGCTCTGTTTGGTTTTTCTGGGTGTGTGTTCCTTTGAAGATTACATAGCACTAGAAACTATTCTTTTAATTGCTCCCAGGATTTTTGTTTTTTTCAGGACAGTGACAGTCCTTGTGACATGATTTGATGGATGCACCATTATACAGGAGCTGCTAAATTCAATATTAAGCACATCACTGACAAATGAAGAATACTCAGGTTGTTTTCCTATTGTAACGATCCACTGTGTGGTAGATTCATATCCCTGAGCTGTGATCATCTTTCAATAAAAACCTAGGAAAATGTCATCCATAGTACTGCTGACCCTGAGACTTAAAACTGTGGATTCAGTTCTTGCTTTTCCTACATAGAGAATCTCCTTTTGAACAGTGGTCTCATAGCTGTGGCTGTGCCACATACAGGTCCGGGGGAGACACGGGTTCACACTCAGAGTTGACAAGAATTTGGAAGCCCTGACATCCTATAAAATGTTACTTGCCCAGAATTGAAACTTTCAAATTCAGGTCCTTCTTCCTACTCTACTGATGAATTAGATTTTCTTAGTTTCCCACCAAGGGACACTTTCTATCACATTGCTCACAGACAAGACATATCTACCCCCCTTCACCCCCACCCAGTGGCTCTTTCCACACCACTGCACCCACCAGGGCATTTGCATATTGTCCTCTAGGGAGGACCTTCCCTTGTGAGTCTGAGATAAAAGCTCAGCTCTAACCTTGCCTGATCAGGACTCCTCAGTTCACCTTCTCACAATGAGGCTCCCTGCTCAGTTCCTGGGGCTGCTGATGCTCTGGTTCCCTGGTAAGGACGGAAGGAGATGAGGGAGGAGAAGAGGTTTGGAGGGTGAGCTCTGGTGGCCCCACTGATTCCCATGTTTATTCTAACCATGTGTTAAAGGAATGTGGCCTATGATCCAGGGAGAGGAATTTATATTTTGCCCTGACAATAGAAACCTTGTAAAAGCAGTTCTCTGAATAATATCTTGAGAAATGAAAGAGCTCTTGTGCCTATTTAATAAAGGGGTCATTTAAAAAGTTTGTTTTTAGGATATGAATACAAGTTTGTAAAACTAAAAGATTAGCTATAAATCAATATCATAAGCCAAATCTCAAAAGTTGCACATTATGCTTTCACGTAACCTTGCACTTCTCTCTCATAATTTCAGGATCCAGTGGGGATATTGTGATGACCCAGACTCCACTCTCCCTGCCCGTCACCCCTGGAGAGCCGGCCTCCATCTCCTGCAGGTCTAGTCAGAGCCTCCTGCATAGTGATGGATACACCTATTTGGATTGGTACCTGCAGAAGCCAGGCCAGTCTCCGCAGCTCCTGATTTATGGGGTTTCCAATCGGGCCTCTGGAGTGTCAGACAGGTTCAGTGGCAGTGGGTCAGGCACTGATTTCACACTGAAAATCAGCAAGGTGGAGGCTGAGGATGTTGGGGTTTATTACTGCGTGCAAGCTATAGCGTTTCCTCCCACGGTGGTACAGACCAATACAGAAACCTCCCTGCTGGGGTGTCCCAGCTGCTCACTTGTCTGGGGAGCAGCTCAGCAGGGTCTCTGAGTCTGCAGAAGAGGAGACTGTTGGAGAAGTCAGGGGCAGGGTTTGCTGCTGAGGGCTCTGGCCCATGGGCGTCTCAGCAGCACCTCAGTCCCATATGGTCAAAGCTTTTTACGTTTTCAGGCTCATCACCACCCTGCCTGTCTTGCCCACATTTGCCAATTACATTCAGTCAGTATAACAGCCAGAACATAGATGCAGTTTAGTGACAACACAAGTGGAATCCATGTGGAAAGCGACCAGCTTGGGGTTTATTTTACACAAGTTAATACTTGGTGATAATACTTGGAATTATTGAGAAATCGGCATTTTCCCACTTTCCTTACTTTCTGTTTCACTTTACCACTCACACTAGATCATAAACAACAGAACTGTGGTTAAGAAACAGACTAAAAAAAAAAAAAACTGGAGATGGCAAAAAATCGAGGGGTTGTGTGCATCTCCTCAACAACAAAATGATGTTTGCAGGTTTCCCCTCCTTCTTTTCCATTTTTGCTGCAAAGAAGCGATTTCACCAGCTCCCTGTCAGAGGTTACATTTGGAGCGTTTACAAATAAAACTTTAGGCAGTTAGTGCTGGATTCTGGGTAGGGTGGCTGGAGAGTGGGTCTGAATTCCAAACATAGAGGAGGTCAGAGTGAGTCATGGAAAGACTGTGGGTGTGGGAAGAAAAGATTTAGAACTCAGACCTTTGGCCACAGCCTTAGGAACTGAAGACTGCAGAACATTGATCAAGGAATAGGAGACAGAAGAGAAGCTGGATAATCTTTTGAGAGATGATGATGGAGGTCCAGGTGGAAGATGATGGAGGATGCATGGGGTGTGGCAATGGGGGTGAAAGTAGGGGAAGGGGTCAGATTTGAGAAAAATTTGAGATCAAGTAACCTTGGCTCCACTGCTGTTAGTTTCAATGTTCCCAGTACAGTGTGCTGTACATGCAATAAAAATCAAAATTATTTTTTTATTTTTTTCATCATTATTTATTTTCATTGACACTTCCCCTCCACCTGCTGGTGTTTAGGAAGAAGACTCCTTGTTTCCTGTTAGATATTTTTTTTTTTTCTAGTAACCAAGATTTTGCCTCTACTGCACATTTCCCTTTCCTAATTATCCTTCTGAACAGAGATGGCCCAGGTGCTTCACTACTGAAAGTCTAAACCTCTTATCCAAATCCTTCAGTCTAGTGTTTTGGTCCTTTTCTTTCATGTTATTTTCTTGTTTCTTTGTCATCACCTTAGCAATAAAAATATCACTTTTTTTTTTTTTCATTTGACTCCTAGCTATCACAGTTGAGAACTTAATGAATCACACTGATTACCTTCGGAACAAGTAATAGGCTTGTAAAGTGGTATGGAGAGATCCAAGTCCACGTGCTCAGGAAGCTACATGAGGAGCCAGGCTCTGTCTAGCACAGGGGCCAGTGCCTCTCCCAGAGTGCCCAATCCAGCTGACTCTGCAGAGTCCCTCTGTGTTGTTATGTCACTCACTGCCTTCTGTAAGTGAGATATTCTGATAAGGATCCTGGCAGATCCTACTGGAATCAGGGGCCATCCATACTCACCTGGGGGCTGAGGACCACAGGCCCCTGAAGACAATCGCAGGTCTGGAGGGTCTTAGCCCATGACTGTCCTCTCTAGAGACAGCTTCTCCCAGATGGCCAAGGGCTGCCTATGGCTGTGTCCTTCCTTCTGCATGATAATGGGGGGCAGAGCAGGTCTCTAAGCAAAGCCTGAGCAAGGCCATCCTGTATGTGTCCCTCTGAACTCTGAACTTGGACATAGGTGGTACTTGATTCACTTAAAGAAGCAAAGCGATTTATGATCACGGGAAAAAGGGAGAGAAAAGGTTGGCAGGAGAGAGAGAGCTTACAGTTGTGATGTGTGTACAAGACCAACACTGAGAGTTTAGTATTGAGTATAATCCTCAGGTTCTGTTCTATGGAGCTTATAAATGTACCTTATGTGGGAAAAGTGTCTTTGTAGTTGTAAATTAAGGGTCTTGGAATGAAGAGATTCTCGTGCATTAACCAAGTGATCTCTAAATGCAATCACAAGTGTCTTTGGAAGAGTGAGGTAGAAATAGATTTAACACAGACTGCAGAGGAGGCGGCACTGTGATCACGGAGACAGAAACTGAAGTGATGTGGCCAGAGCCAAGGAAAGTTGCAGCCACCAGAAGCTGGAAGAGGCAAGAACAGACTCTCCCAGAGCCTCTAGAGGACCCAGCCCTGATTACTCCCTGATCTTGGCCTGGTGAAACTGATTCTGGAATTCTGGCCTCTAGAACTATGAGTGATTACATTTCTGTTGTTTTATGCCATCACATTTTTGGTAACTTGTTTTAGCAGTTGAAGGACTCTGATACAAATGTGACTGTGTTAGAAAATCCATACTTGGCCAGGCCTGGTGGCCCATGCCTGGAATCCCAGCACTTTGGGAGGCTGAGGCAGACAGATCATTTGAGGTCAGGAGTTTGAGACCAGTCTGGCCAACATGGTAAAATCTTGTCTCTACTAAAAGTACAAAAAAATTAGCTTGGCATGGTGGCATGTGGCTGTAGTCCTAGCTACTCAGTCAGCTGAGGCAGGAGGAGGTTGCAGTGAGCTGAGATCATGTCACTGCACTCCAGCCTGGGCAACAGAGCGAGACTCCATCTAAACTGGAAAAAAAAAAAAAAAAAAGGAAAGAAAGAAAATCCATACTAAAGGTAGTATGATGGCTTGCAATCTCCTTGTTCAATTTTCTAATGCTAGCTATAAATGAGTTAGTGGGAGATTTTATAGTGGAAAGTATGTACATGAAATTTCACAGTGTATAGAGAGGTATCTGTTAGTTATAGAGTAAGTGTTGATAATTTTTAATTGAAAATGACCACTGACTAGGGATATCTTACATGACATCTTCATTCTGACTTATCCAAGGATGCATAAAAGGGGTACCAGGTATTCCCTAATATATACATGTATATATCTCTCTAATAAGCACGTGTGTGTGTGTGTGTGTGTGTGTGTGTTTGTATTTCATGGCACATCATCAAGTGAACCGGTATGATGTGCCATGATATTTGCAGGGCCCCAGTGCACATAGGAAGGAATGGCTCATTAGAGTGCTGGGGTGAGTTGATGGCCCAAAGTCATATGATCAGCAATTGCAGAGGCTGAGTTTCAAACCCAGGGCTTCTGACCTTAAATATGTTCCTGTTACAAGGCCACATTCATTCCATAGAGAAGCTCATGGCCTATAAAATCAGAGACAAAGCCGGAAGGATAGTATGAAATTCCCCACATAAGCCCCCTGTTGCTTCTACCTCTGCCCCTCACCACGCTGACCCTAAACTTAAAACTCAGGCCCTTCTGCAGTTTCTCAAAAACTAAATGACTTTCAGCTTTGGGGGCAGAGGCACATCTTGCATGGCTCTGACCACTTCTTTATCTTCTCTGCCATCCTCATCTCTCTGATTCAATCCTTCTTCTCAGATTATGTCCTGTATATCTAATTTGTCCTCCTAATGTGAAAATAAACAAACCTGTAGCCAACCCCCTCTTCTCGCGTGCTGTGACAGTCATCCCTCGACTCTCAGATAGCCAGATTGTGCAAAAGCTAATTGAAAGGATTTAGTCAAGAGATTTTCTTCCTAAGAAGAATTCTGGAGCTATCTCCTCACAGTAAAATGTTCTCTGTCTCTTGTCAAAATTGACAATAAATGATTGGAGGGTAGAAATATTTGTGAGAATAGAGGACAACCACACACTCAGAGAGATGAAAGACATGACTTCCCTTTGCATTAATTTTGTATTGTTGCTGTAACAAATTACCAATGTCTTACTGGCTTCAAACAGCATAAATTTATTATCTTATAGTAGTGGAGGTGAGAATTATCACTGAGCTAAAATCAAGGAGTCAATAGAGTCTATTTCTTCTGGAGGATCCAGGGAGTATAATCTGATTTCCTTATTTTCATCTTCAAGATGCCCCACCTTCCTTGCTCCATGTCCCCTTCCTCCATCACTCCAGCATTCCTCTCCATTGTCCCAGCTCCTGTCTGACTGTGACCGTCCTCCTTCCATATTATAAGGACCCTTGTGACTATGCTGGCCTCACCCAGAACATCCAGGATACTCTCCTGATCTCAAAATTCCTCACTTAGTCACATCTGCCAAGTTACTTTTATAATGTAAGGTAACATTCAAAAGTTCCAGATATTAGGACATGGATTTCTTTGGTGGGATGTGTTCTTCATTTCAACAATAACTCTCATCATCCCCACAACTATCCTCCCCAAAGCAGAATAAAACACACACAGGCGCGCGCGCACACAAACACACACATACACACACACACACACACACACACACACACAGAGCTGATTTACGAGGCAAGAGAGCTGAAAGAAACCCAAGAGTTTGGATCCCTGATGTGTGGATTTTAATTTCTAGGGGATTCTGATTTTGCTGCTCTAATATGTACTTTAGGGTGATAGTCATTTCTTAAAGCCTCCTTTGATTTAGTACTTTAATTGAACCTGAGAGATTAATAAAGTGAAATTAAATATGTCTTACATTTTGTGAATTTTCCTGTTTGTGCATCAAAAAAGAAGAGTTATCTGGCAAGAAATCAGACCACCTATACCCTCCAAGAGTGAGAGTCTCTCCACTGTCTTAGGTTGGGCCTCCCAGTGACAAGGATTTCCATGCAGGCAGCTTATGTACAAGGTGCAGGAAACACTGGGAGGAAACAAGGAAGTGTACAAGGAAGAGAGAAGAGACAGTGAAAGATTTGTCAGCAAGGAGCTACCAGTGAAGACACCTGGGACTCAAGCCCACATGGAAACACATGGAAAATGCCTCTGGGTTATTCCACCTAAGAGGTGAAGAAGCTGGGATATGTATACACCTTCCTGTCATCACTGATTGAAGGTTGTCCTAGGGAATGCTCATTCCAGGCCCTGAGCTCTGCCATGTGTGCACACAGAGCTGCCTTCCCAGTTTCAGAGAGAGTAGCAGGGGACATAGCCATGCAGAGTCAACATAAGTACAGTGAAGAGGAAAGGTCCAGGGTAGCAAAAGTGACTACTACATGCACACAGAATAAAAAATAAAATGTGTACTTCAATCCAGAGCATTATCTCTCTGAACGTGGACCCTGACAGACTGTTTGGTAGCAAGACCTCTTGAAATTCAGGCCCCAGGAGAAGCAGCAGGAAGATTGCACACAGGATGCACCGCCAAAGTCTGGTCACTCTTAGTCCTGCATGAGGAATACTCCCCGCATTCCTGCGGTCTACTCCACTGATGCTGATATAATTAGTTCCACTTCCCCTGATGCTGAACCAGGCTAGGATGCCCCGAACAAAGGCAACCATGTGAGATATAGGAGTTCAAATCAGTGTCCAAGTGTTATCCTAATTCAAACTATTTCTCCATGTACCTTGGTGTTGGCTTCACAGGATACGGAGATTGTCTCTTCTACATGTGAGACAGGGAGGCTTAGGTCTGGGTAAGGATGACGTCCCCACTCACTGCTAAACAGTAAAAGAGGAAAGTGGCATTGATGGTACATGGTAGGCACATTCACTGAGCAGCAGCCACCCTGGCAAGAAGAGAGGATTCACTGACCTGGACTTTCCCCAGGGGCTCCCTGTCACCTGCTCTCCAGAAAGCCAGGCTCCAGGGCAGCTGGGCCGGAGATCCCACAAACATGCTACGGGGGGTGCAGCTCAGAGCGTTACTGACGGATATAATCTTGGTCTTCCTATTTTGGAACAATTGAGCATCGGAGCCTGGATCGATGCAGAATTTGTTTATCC